TGAGTGCCGAGCAACAGGCTTGTGCCTTTACACAGTATTGGAAGATGAAGTACAACGGGAGTGGTACTAACGGTTTCCTGGATGCAACATCTACGTATGATTACGTGAGGCACGACGTCCTCATAGCACGTGACGTGCTGCACGTCCGGGAGCCCTTTTCATGCCATCAGAAATGTGGACATGGATTAGAAATTTTATCAGAAATTGCCTTGTGCATACTGTATGGGGCATTTCCAAGTCTAGAACGAGAATAATCCGACGCGGAGTTCGTCAAGGTTGCTCTATTAGTCCTATGTTATGGTTGGAATATATGGCACCGCTCATATCGTATTTATGGAAAGGTATTGTGGATAATGTTATTTTTCGTACCCATTGCCTCGCGGATGACGTGTGCATAACGATGTCGGTGAGCTCTAAAGATCTACCTTTGAAGATCCACCTACTACAAAAACAACTCGATGGAGCATCTGAGTTTTTCCGCTCATCTTCTTTTAAACTAAATCCATCTAAATCGGATCTTGTGGTTTTTTCTACAAATGCCAATATTCATGAGAAGAGCTTTAAACTGTTTATCCTGGTAGCGAGAACCCGAGGGAAGAGAATCAAAGAATGCTGGGTATCTATGTCGATCAAGGGCTTACGTATTCTAAACATTGCGAAATATGGAGACAGCGAGTATTCGCTCGCATTCGTATACTAAGTCATATATGTACTAGATCTTGGGGTTCGAGCTCCAGAAGCACACAGCAATTGGCAGAACAATTCATCCTATCGAGTGCACTTCATAGTAGGGCTGGGTTTTTTGATGGTATTACAGCTAAGAGAAACTCTAAAAATTTGGATACGGCTCATAATTCCATAATGGGACTCGTATGAGGATGCTTGCGTGTGACTGATGTTAAAAAACTGCCGTCTGTAGTTGGATGGGACAGCCTAGGAGATCGAGTACAACGGCGTGCAGCACATCTTGCTCATATGGTGTTAAGACACAAGCAGATCACTCCAGCTCGGTCTTTATTCTCACAAGATGTTGTGAAAAAGAGGAAGAGGAAGAAGTTACACGGTTGGAGTGATTTATCGATTCGATTTCTGCCACCATCAATTTATCCTTACATCGATCAATTACCGCAAAGTCTAGAACCATGGTTATTCCTTCGAGTGGTTTTTCGTGCCTCTCCATGTGAGAAGAATGATACGTATGTTGAAAGACATACGGCGGCTCTTGAAACTCTGGCCTCAGCTCGGCAAGACTCTAAAGATGGATCCAATATAGACTTGGGAAATTTGGTCTGATGGTTCTGTTGAGTCTTCCACTGGTCATGGGGGATCAGGTGGTGCTAGTGATAGGACTGAACCATTCTGGTCATTATGTGCTCCTGCTGGAAGCATTGCATCATCGTAAAACGCTGAGGTGAACGCATTGGTATGTTGTATGGATATTTTTTCTGGAGAATGTGATTCCTAAATACATTAGCCCAAAGGATGCTGTTATTATTGTATGTGATTCACTCTCGGCCTTCTGTTCTTTCCAATCTGATACTTATAATTTGCATCCTGATATGATCAAACTATGGCGGCTCTTGTATGATCAATCTAATTGCAAGCTGCAGATATCAGCTGTGGAAGTGTTCATCAATAGACAGAGTTTCGAAGCCGGCTTTGGATGTATCGCAATCTTCCTTGGAAGATGAACTTGGCTTTAAGGTTAACATGAGATATATATCTTCTCCTTTTAATCAGATTTGGTCTGGTAAATGGTGCTTGTGTGCTGATTATTTATTCAAGATTGGTAAGGCTCCTAGCCCTCTATGCTGTAGCTGTTTTGATCTTGGTATCGAAGTAGTTGATGATATATGCCATAAGCTTTTCATTTGCCCAAAATTTGAGAAGGTCAGATCAGTATGTTTTGGCTCTTCTCCCTTTGAGGCAGAAATATGCGACTACGTAGGTAGAAATACCATTTAAGTTGCGTGGTTTATTGCAATGGCGAGAGATAGGCAATTCCTTGTATTATCTGTCTCTCCCTCATCCCATTCCGTTGACTGGTTTAAGGATTGTAAAAAAATATGGGGCTGAAACATATGGGGATACCATTGTGATGAAGATCTTATTTCTATCGATATAAACCACTATATTAGGCGCAGAGTTATGGATAGTATCCAAAATACTAAGCTTTACTGGAGTATCCATTGGATACTCCAGTAAAGGTTAGTATTTTGAGGCGCGATTTTAACACATGTATGATAAGAATATGTGGAGAAAGTTTCTCACCATTTTTCGACTTCTCACTAACTACGAAGAGTTAGGCCCTGAAACTTGGAGGTTATATCATGCAGAGCATAAGAACATACCTTTGGGACGCAAGATGGTACTCGTTGAGGTGACGATGCACGGGCCGAGAAATCGGGTATGCTAAGAATATGTGGAGTAATGTAGAACCCGCATAGGGTCATGCTTTTAATATGTGTAAAAAGTGTGATAGAAAGTCTATCTAACTCTAAGTTACAGAGTCGCTGAGTCTGAATCGGCAATGTTCTTGACTCTAGCTGAGCTCATGCTTTGCGCATGCGAGTCAGTTTCAGTTAAGCCGTTTCACAGGGACATGTACGCAAGCACAGGTGCACACGTTCGATCCCGCCAGAAAGCAGTGAATCCTGAAAAAGCTGAAGGTCGAGTGAACCCGTTGTCGGGGTTTTTTCTCCCACTAAGGGAGGTGACAATAATGAGCAACAGCATCGCCCGCACCGGTATCCTAAATATCAGTAATTCTTCCACCACTCCTTCCCGAACCGATTCAACTTTCAATTATTACTCTCTCTCCGGTTGTTCATTGTTTAAGTCGTCAGCTTGCTCACAGCGACCGCGGCGCGATCATTGAGATCCGCGCCACATATTTTGTATTCCGTTCCACTGTTCCATCACGAAGGAGTGACTTTTTAATCCGTTAGCGCCTAGCTGAAATACGCGATTTCTATAAGCAAACCATTTGAGTCCATATTAGAGACTGTAGAAGTGTGGGAACCTTGTTGTTGAACAATTCTGGTATTACCACAATGATAAACAGCCATGCATGAGGCAACAGGTCCTAATGCTTGTTTCTGTTGGACATGAACATATACAACTTCTATACTGAACTCCTGGATAGCATTGTATTAGAATTCTTGGACCCGAAGTAACTGCTTAGGAGGTACACCAGCTGAGTTGGGGGAGCTTACTGGCCCGAGCTCGGCTCGGCGAGCTGGTCAACACCTCAACCGCGACGGAGCGCTGCTCCGAGTTCTTCCTTGTCATAGCTTTTGTATACTTATATCTCTTCATACTTCATCTCTACCATTCATACAGTTCCTGCGTTCCACAACGTGGTAGCACCTCCTACTGGTCTACATCACAAGTAATAAAGAAACATCGACAACCACCATAAGTGAAGACACTGCTGTCCCTACACCTTACTCTGGTGCTGGAAGCTTCCATGAATGGCGTCTCCGTTTTGTTTATACCCTCCGTTCAATAGACAAGGCTGTGTGCGATGCTGGAATCGATTCTCAAAATCGATTTTCGGAAGCGTTCCTGAAGTCGTGTTCAATAAACACGATTTTGAAAGTTGAAAATCGATCTCGGAAGCGATTTCAGGATTAATTCCGACTCGCGTTCAGTAGACACGATTTTTAAAATCGTTTCCAACATCGATTCCAGAATGGACAAATAAAATACGTGAGAAATGGGGCTCTCCGGGATGGAACCTGAGGCCATACCTTGTAGATGGATGACAAGTCTCAATAATGACGTATCATAAAATATACCGCTCCGCTGGTCGTCATTTCGGATATTCCAAGATACTCCTAAGATACGCCCATCACATTCTCTATCTGTGAACCTAAGTATATCCTAGTAACTTTTATC